TCACAAGACTATGTATTTGATACTTATCATTTAAGTAACTAAATGTTTTTGTAATCCAAAGGTTTGTTGTTTGAATACTAAATGGTAGTTTAACTTTTAATACATAAACAATTACCATAAGAACATCAACGAAAACAACAACATTAATACATAAACATTACCATAAAAACATCAATGAAAACAACAACATTAATACATAAACATGCTTGCTAATTCCTTTCCAGATAAAGTTGTTTACGACATTCAATCCAGTACTGCTTTTCATTGATCATTTCCTGTATCATGGGGTACTCTTTCGCTATTTCCTTCACACGTTTTTACTCAGCTCGAATCTATTTTTGCAATTGCTTTACAATCTTCTTCTTCTCTTCGATCGCTACCTCCATTTTACTGTGTCTCTCCCTGTTACTCCACCACTTATCACTGGTCTCCTTGATCTCCACTTCAAATTTTTCAATGGATTTCTTCATCTTGGTAGGCATGATTTGAGAAGATGGAAGGTTTGATGATGATGGATTCCAGCCATTTCTTACAAGAAGTGGATAAGTAACTGTATAAGATTGAATATGGTCGGTGTGAAGGTGTGATTTTTGGTTTCATGAGGCATCCTATTTATACACATACACATGGTAAAAAAATTACCCACATACCCCTAGAGTTGTCATAATGTAGTCAAATATTGACATAAAGTTGTCATAGACTTGTTAAATCATGAATGACAATGTTCATCATAAAAGCTTACAAGATTCGTGCGGAAAGCCTGACCTCTCCCCCTATGGTAAAAAAAAACTTGCCCTCTATTGTCAGAAATCACCCACCTACCCCTAGAGCTGTCATAGTATAGTCAAATATTGACATAAAGTTGTCATGGACTTGTTAAATTGTGTATGACAATATTCATCATAAAAGCTTAAAAGATTCATCCAAAAATCTTGACCTCTCCCCCCTATTTATACACTATCGCCCCTACCCCTAGAGTTGTCATAGTGTTGTCAAATCATGTCATAAATACAGGGACTAATGTGTAAATTACTACAATTCCAAGGACCAATCATATCATAGTGTTATTCTTTATCCATCCATATTTAATGGAAGATGTTGAAAGACTTATTACTTGCTATCATTTCCTATTTTCTCTATAGCAATGGATGGAAGTTCTTCTAGTTCTAATTTTAAACATCCGACAACGGACGATGAGTGGGAGAGGATGGGCAAGAAGTCAATTACCACTGACAATGCCCAATTATTCGAGGCATGATATCAAGAAATGGGAACTCAAAATCTCTATACTACTTTAACAGCGTGCGGAGCTTCGTGCAAAAAAGGAGAAGATTGAACACGTGATGAACAAGAAAAAGAGATGGATTGCTGATACAAATCAACAAATTAAACATCAGCAAGGATGGTTTATTGATCCAAGAAAACAAATTAAAGAGGAAAAAAATTGAACCATATGCATGGTTTGATCTTGCAGTCAGGAAAACTGGAAGAAATATTAGGTACAATGAAGAGGACATTGAAAAATACACGAGATGGATAGAAGGAACTAAAGCACTCTATCTGCATGATAAAATGTAGTTGTATTTCGATTAATTATTGTTGTCAATGTTCCTAGCTCGATTAATTATTGCCTCAATGTTCCTAGCTCGAACTTTTCTAATTTATTGTACTCAAATGTTGATGATGTGACAAGTCCCCCTATATTTCTCTGTAAATAACCTTGTTTTCCATCACAAACATGTTTCACCATCAAGTATTCATTCACTCTTAACTCAGTAGGTCAAAAATGGTGAGGCGTTGCAACTATGACACTGATGCAATTATCCGAATGTCATGGACCATTATAACCCAGGCCACCGATTCTTTTGTTGTTCATTACCTATGAGTGTTTTCCTATTTAAAACCTTCACATATAATTGTTTTTTCATATATATATGTATTCCTTACTTTTTTACAAGGACGAAATTGTGGATTTATTGATTGACTTTACCCACCCATATGCCCTAGATCTGTGGTGATTATTCTAGGGTTATTAAGATCATAAAACAATCTTGAAGCTTCCCTTTTTTAAGCTGTTTTAGAAGATCGTTGGTTGAAGATGATGTTGGCGATAAGTTGGATTTCCTTTTTAGTAATTTGATGTTTTTGTTCATTTAAACGATTATAGGATAATTATCATTTACAAAACTATTAGTGAAGATCATTTACAATGTCATTTAAACCAAAGGTACATTTTATTACAACTAAGGTATACGTGTTGCATACAAAAGAGATGCCAAACGTTGACGAAATAACATCACATTATGGTCTGTCGGCTCCGATAGTATACTTCCTCTCCTTGAAACAACTGCTCAACAAACATACAATAGAACACTCCACAATCATCAACGAGTCCATCCTATCGAGGCACATCTCCAGGATAAACTACCTGTAGTTTTGGCAATTTTGGTGTCTCCCCGACCTCTATATAATATTTTATCTCCCATAGAAATTCGGGGAGGCATTTATTTATAACCATTATTGAACATTTTCTGAGGATAAGTATCATATATACTCAAATACCACGACCTTATGTCTAGCTCCCTGATCACCCAGTGAAGTTGTGGTACGTTTATTGCGATGAATACGAACAAAAATAAGTTGCAAATTAAAATTGAAAAATACATTATTTTCTATATATAACAATAAATTATTACGTGTAACACCCCCAAACACCACATTTGCATATAACACATATTTCATTACATAAAAATATAGTTTACATCAGAAGGTCCCCCTAGTACAAGGATTCCTATATGTACAAAATCTACATATGAAAATTTCCAAAACAAATCTTGTACTAATACATGTAATGCAACATGTATCTTCAAAATAAGCAATCGTAAATAGATCTTCAAAAGCAGATAACAGGTTAGGAAAATAATCACATTTTCCCTTTCCCTTTAATATCCATGGACCCCGCCATTCCTACATTGCATAATTTTAAAACAGAAAATGAGAGTTAGACCAGAAGGGTCTAGTGAGTAAATCCATTCTTTGCAATTGCAGGGTGATGAACTATAATAAAGTAACTTTGCTTATAATTTTTTGCAATATAATCAAATAATGCAATCCTCAAAGACATGTATAAAAAGATAAACACAAGAACCTCTGTTCTATTAATCAAATACATCTGCTTAAAGATCCAACATTCTAAATATGAAAAAAATATTGTAACCAAAGCTTCTTTAATCAATAAACCATTCCTTTGTAAATTTTAAAGGAAAACTTTAAGGCAATACTTGCCCTTTATGACAAACCATTTTCCCCTTCTCAATAACATCTAAATTATTATTTCTAATAGGAGTAATATCTCCAATTCATCAGGTCACAAAGAAATGATGACTTAAAATTATTAAATCCGATTAGTAACAATAATAAGAGTTATAATACTAACCACATATGACAATGCCTCCGTTATTCCAAGTACACCTCTCCTTGATATGCCACCCTTATTCCTCTATCAAAACAGGGCTACTTATCAGAACAGATAAAAGTCACCACGTCTGTAAGTACCCATTCCCAGTTCCAAGCCAGAACAGACAAAAGTCACCATGTGTGGGGGAACTGCCACTTAAAGACAAGTTTCATACCAAAACAGACTTACGTCACCACGTTTGGTAGAAACATATCTTTTTATTTAAAAAGATATAAAATACCCCTTTTTATAAATCCATAATTATACCCAATAATAGACATATATAAATGTCTAAAATATTAAATACTTAAAAATTATCAAATATAAGTTAACCGGACAAGTTATCCGGATATACAATCCGGACAACACTTGTCCCTTCTGTCCGATTTACTAATTCGGACAACCCAAGGTTGATTTAAGACTAAATCGCATGACTCATGTCCGGTTTAAGGCAATCCGGACAACACATGGTCGAATTAAGTCTAAACCGCTCAATACGTGATCGGTTTATAACTAATCCGCACGACTCTTAAGCGATTTAAGGCTAAATCGCACAATGTTTGGTCGTATTCATACTTCTCCATTCAAAAACCTTTGTCCAATTTATATATTTTAAATTCTCACTAACACCTTAAATCGCACAATACTTGAGCGATTTATGCATAAATCGGATAACTCCTATCCGGTTTTAAGAGTAATTCTGACAAGCCTTGTCCGGTTTATACTTAATCCGGTCACCCCTTGTCCGAATAACGATCTCAATTGGATAACTGATTTCTTCCAATTAATATGCAACATTCAATAAAAACTAGTACAAGTTTTATACAAAAGAGGTTTAGAAATCACTCACCTTTGTAATTTAGCAAATGCAACCAATCTTTGATTCCTAGTATGCAAGCAATCCGGACAACTTCTCTTAATTTTCTCTCAAATTCCAAATGAGGCAAGAAAATTGTTTCCTCACAAAAGCTTCATATTTATACTTTCCAAATATGGAAAGTCGATTTCCCTCCCCCCACACACACATGCATGCACATAACCGAAACCTTCATGCATGTAGGCACAAAACACTTTTACACATTATTTTCATACATTGCATATATATATATATATACACCTACATAATATGCATACATATTCCCATGCATAAAATACACATACTCACTTATTTAATCCATATAAACATGTATCCACAAAATCAATTAATTCACATAATAATTACCTTAGGTAATAACCAGAACCCGGTTATCACATTACGAGATTCTACCGACGTGTTTGACGTCACGTCATGATGGAAATGGCTCTAGAGTGCCATTGCCATAAACTTTTTGCTCTGCAGTGACAATATACGGGTTCTTTAGATTTGGTATCCAACATGGCCGTATGATGGTCCAATGGTCAGTTGAGTGCCTCTTTCCAGAGCAGATACGTGTTCCATGTATCAAAATGCTATAAATATATATAAAATAGATTATTAAGTTAAATACTAGACAAGAATACATGTCAGTAGTGGACGGTGGTAGGTGGCGGCAGACGGTAGTGGATGCCGGAGGTGGACGGTGGTAGATGTCATTATACGGTAGTGGATGTCGGTAAACGATGGTGGATGCTGGTATGCCAAGATGTCAAAATGTGAGTTCTAGTTATGAAAAGTCCAATTTTTGGGCCATGTTAATTCTGAGTTGGGTATAAAGGTGGATCCCCTCAAAATTAAAGCCATCGAGAAGTGGGAAGCACCGAAAACACCAACAAAAATCAAGAGTTTTCTTGGGCTGGGAGGTTATTATCGAAAGTTCATACAGGATTTTTCTCGTGTTGCTACTCCGTTAACCGGATTGACGAAAAAGAATGTGAGGTTTGAATGGAAGGAAGAACAAGCTAAGGTTTTTCAGATGTTAAAAGAGAAATTGTGTAGCGTGCCAATTGTATCCTTACATGATGGTACGGAAGATTTCGTGGTCTACAGTGATGCCTCGAAAATGGGTTTGGGTTGCGTGATGATGCAACGTGGAAAAGTTATTCCTTGAAAATCTGGAGGCATTACTTGTATGGGACTAAATGTCAAATTTTTACTGATCATAAAAGTTTGCAGCATTTGTTCCATCAGTAGGAATTAACTATACGTCAAAGACGATGGTTAGAGTTGGTTAATGATTATGATTGCGAGATTTTGTATCATCCGGACAAGGCAAATGTGGTTGCTGATGCTTTAAGCTGTAAAGAAAGGAGCGGTACAATTAAAGCTATAGCGTTAAGAGCAGAGTTATTGCCAAGCATTCATGAAGAACTGCAAAGGTTACAAGGCGAGACTATGAGAGAAGACAAGATCAAACAAGAACGACTTGGTGGAGTGATATCTGAATTGGTAAAAGACGGTTGGGAATTGTTGTGTTTTCAAAAAAAGATTTTGGGTACCTTGCTATGGTAATCTCAGAGAACACATCTTAAGTGAAGCCCACAAATCTTGTTTTTCTATCCACCCAGGTACGAACAAAATGTATCGAGATATGAAGCAATACTACTGGTGGCCGGGCATAAAGAAAGATATAGCCAGACATGTTGAACAATGTACGACATGCTTGCAAGTGAAGATAGAACATCAACACCCTTACGATAAGTTGCAGTCATTACAAATTCCAATTTCGAAATGAGATCACATCACTATGGATTTCATAACCGAATTACCTAAAACACCAAAGGGTTATGATGCCATATGGGTTATTGTGGATTGATGATCTAAGTTTGCTCATTTGTTACTGATGAAAAAATCATATTCAATGGACCGGTTAGCAAAATTTTATATTGATAAAGTGGTGACACGTCACGATGTTCCATTATCAATAATTTCTGATCGAGATAGTCGATTCAGGTCTATGTTCTGGAAGAGTTTTCAAAGAGAAATGGGTTCAAAAATTAAGTTAAGTACACCTTATCATCCACAAACGGATAGAGAAAGTGAACGAACAATCCAGACACTAGAAGATATGCTGCGGGCATGTGTTATTGACTTTGGAGGATTATGGGATAATCATTTTCTTTTGATCGAATCCGCCTATAATAATAGTTATCATACAAGTATTCAGGCTGCACCTTTTGATGTGTTATACGGACGGAAATATCGAACACCGTTGTGTTAGAACGAGGTGGGCGAGAAACAGTTGGCTGGACCTGAAATAGTTCAAAAAACGACAGATGAAATTTATCAGATTCGGGAACGAATTAAGATAGCTCAAGATCGACATAAAAGTTATGCAGATGAACGTCGGAAGTCGATTGAGTATCAAGTCGGTGATAAAGTAATATTGAAAGTATCACCCTAAAAAGGAGTGGTTCATTTTGGAAATAAGGGTAAGCTGAGTCCAAGGTATATTCGACCATTTCTTATCCTCGAACGAGTTGGAGAAGCGGTATACAAACTAGAACTTTTTTTTTTTTGGGTAAAAAACTAGAACTTCATGTGGAGTTAAATGGTATTCATAACACTTTTCATTTATAAAATCTAAGGAGGTGTCTAACAAACCTAGAGGTAGTTGTGCCTCTGCCAGAGATTAAGATTGACGAAATATTGTGTTTTGAAGAGACCCCTGAAGCCATTACCAACTTCAAAGTAAAAGCACTAAAGAATAAAGAAACCGGGTTAGTGAAAGTTCAGTGGCGTTATCATAAAGGTCCGGAAGCCACTTGGGAACCCGAGTCTGAAATGAGAGTAAAATATCCTCATTTGTTTACTTAGTGGAATTCCGGGACGGAATTCTTCTAAGGATAGGATATTGTAATGTTCGATTTTAAAATTTTAGTTTGTCGGGTTGCGCAAATAATCAGTTATGAAAGTTCAAGGGAAATGTTTGGCATTATTGGGGATGAAGGGACCAATGGTGAAACCATGGTCACCTCCTTATGCCATTAAAATTATTGATCCAATGAGAGAAAGGAAAAGGTGATGATTGCATGTGGGGAGGAGGTGCATGCTTATACACCGCCTCCAAAACCCCCTCCTCCTCTCATCTCATTTCTAAAACTTACTATATATAGTAAATTAGTGGAAGGGAGAAAGTTTTTGGTTACTGTTTCTTTTGGAGAAAAAGCTCTGGCAAAAAGAATTGGACTGAAGGGAAGAAGCAAAGGCATCCAAAAAGGGTTTCAATTTAAGATGAGTTTCTATGGCTTGATAGACTATGAGTTATTACCTTTTTACGTAGTAGCTATTTGATTTTACCATGTTAGTTATTGTTTTAGGTGTTAAATTAACTTTTTATCAAGACTAAATCAAGATTTCATCGGTCAAAGCTTCAATCGATGAGACTCGTCATCGGTCAAAGCTTCAACCGATGAGGCCCTAAAGCTTTATATGATATGGTCCCCTCATCGCTCAATGTGTTAACCGGACAAGGACGTCTCACCGTGCAAGTGTTTTCAGATAAAGTCTCCTCACCGATCATGTGTTGTCCGATGAGATCCCTCACCGTGCAAGTGTTGTTCGATAAGGACTCCTCACCAATCATATGTTGTCCGATGAGACCCCTCACTGTGCAAGTGTTCTCCGATAAAGACTCCTCAGTGGTCATGTGTTTTCCAATGAGACCCCTCACCGTGCAAGTGTTGTCCTATAAGGACCCCTCACCGATCATGTGTTGTTCGATGAGACCCCTCACTGATCAAGTGTTGTCCGATGAGACTCCTCACCGATCAAGTGTTGTCCGATGAGACTCTCACCGATCAAGTGTTTTCTGATGAGACCTTTACCAATCAAGTGTAGTCCGATAAAAACCATCACCAATAAAGTATTGTCCAGATTGACCCTTATCACTCATAGTAATGTCTGAGATGAAATGACGGTGTAACCGCAATAGATGAAATGGCAGTGTAACTGCGGTAGAGGAAATGACGGTGTAACCACGATAGGTAGATGTTAATTTATCATTAAGAATCAGGTTTGAATTGTATTAGATTATTATAGCAAAATATATTTGCGTGAGGGAAATTCGCTCACTAGACCTTTCGGACTATCCCTCAATTGTTGTAATAATTTGTTTTGCAAGGTCATCAAACATCATAGGATAAAGGCAAAGAAAAGATGTAAAAGAATTATGGAAGAAAGTCTTATTATGACAAAAAAAAAAATTGTTAACCCATACTGTTGGTTTGTCATATGTAAATAAACTTGAAAATGTTTGTAATTTTGTTACCTGATGTATGTTGAAGTATGCGTTTTGTTTATTAGTATTGTTTAGTACATGATGGGTTGTTTCACTCATCTTTGGTCCAGTCATTTTTTAAGAATTAAATCAATATTTTAAACGACATAAGAAACTATATAAAAGTATAATATTAAAAAGAATTAGGATTATAACAATTATAAAAGGAATTTAGAAAGATGTATATTAAACATATACGGTGACGAGACAAGTTGGGGAATTCATTACTCATTCCCTGTTCTGGTACCAAGTTTTACGGGGAATCCTCGGTTTCAATAGAAACATGGATGAATCGGATTCCCTAACGAGTCAAGTACAATTGCCATGCTTATTGAGGAGTGTTCTATGAGTCTTTCCCGTTAGGGCACCAATGTGATGTGGGGTTCGATATCATGAAGGTTTTGTAAATACTAGTAAGGTGCCCTGTGCAATGTCGTGGTGTGCATCTCAAGTTTAAACTGAGAATTTAAAATGTCAATCATGTTTTATTTTTTATTTTATCTCCATCCTGATGCTAGTTGTATACCCGATCAATGTAATCGAGTACAAATTTTGAATAGATGTAAGTAAAAATATCTAATATAGATTCGCATCAATTTGTATACCTGATTTTTTAAAAATAACCGTTATACATGCTCATAAATATACTAAAAATATAGAAAATATAAATTGATACGTATGTATGTTATTTTATAATATTATTAAATCCAAAAATATTCAATAATGAGCTTATATTAAAAATATTGACGAAAAATTACAATGGTATAACTTATAATAAAAAGAAACGTATTGTTAATGTATTTTAATTAATCTATGATCATACATTTTTGATATATTAAAGATGTAAAAATAAAATGTAAGGATATAACCCAAATTAATCATCGATATCCATGAGATTTAGTAGTACGATCAATTCTAAAATATTAAATAGTGAGCTCATTTTGAAGGTATTGATGGGACGATTATAATGATATAATTTATAAAAAATATATTTTTTTAATATAATTTCGTTAATATACGATTATCTATGTTAATATGATAATGATGTAAAATGAAAAATAAAAAATAAAAAAAAGATTTAAAGTAAATTGTTAGAATTGATATGATTTAAAAAATATCAAATCATGGAAGGACTTGTGTAGCTTTATAATTTATACATTAAACTTATAAAATAAAAAGTATAAATAAGTTTTTTATAAGAAAATTAAAATGAAAAAAATGGGACCCACAACATGGGATCGAATGACAAATGTCAGTGATGATGAAATGGTGTTTGGTTGAGGATCTATCATTATTGCCCAACAACCGCACCTACCAAATTCTGTCCATAAACAACTTCGCTTTTCGGAGTTGGATGCCTCCCTTTCCAACTTTGCCATCATACTTCGGAAAAAAAAAAAGTCAAAAATGTAATTTTCATGATAAATTAATTGTTTTTAAAGATATTTAAATAAATATATTTATTATTAACGCATCAACTGTATAATAACTATATGATTTTTCAAAATTTTAATTTAATTAAAATATATAATATACTGATTTTATTTCTTTGTTATCAAATTAATTATAGAAAAATACATCATCAGATAAATAACCAAATTCTATTATATAAATATTCTTATTCCAAAAAAACTTAGATGCCGTTTACTCAAATGCTTACTCGGTAAATGTTTACTGGTAGGAGTCAATATTATAATCTATTTTACTAGGTAAGATTGTAGTTAATTAAAATAGTATCGTATGCAACAACTTACCCGGTAAACTTTTACCTGGGTAAGAGTTGTCACTCTCACTTACCGGGTAAAGACTCTCCATCCTTATCATCGTTCTTA